ATAACGTTACTCGTAATTGGGGCAACAGAGCTACGAGTTAAGGAAGTCGAAAATTGTGCATTTCTCCGACTGAATATGACGCCTTTTGGCCGGCTGTTTGGACAGACTACTCTACTCGTGTCAACGCGCTAACGCGAAAACATGGCAAACGAGCTTTGTCCACATCGAGCCTTGTAGTGTCTCTATACTTCTGAATGCTCCGTCCCCTGCAGATCTCTGTGTGCCGCTGCAGCGTGTCTGTTAGGCCCCGCCCCCCGCACACAGAGAGACACAGGGAGATCGCTCTTCTGGAGTGAAGAGAGCGGAAATAATGATATTGCAAGTTAGAAATGTAAGATGCATTTTGACAGACATGACGGGCAATTGGGGGAAAATATGCTGCATTTTGAATGTCCGCTAGTCCACCATTAACACCTTAGTCCCGTCTCGTCTCGTCAACGAAAACTAAATATACATTTCGTCAAATTTTCGTTATCAAGAATCTATTTTTAGCTCGTTATCGTCTCGTCTTAGTCATGTAAAAAAGGTCGTTGACGAACATTTTTCGTCATAGTTTTCGTTGACGAAATTAACACTGAGCCTAGGGCTGTTATTACGCGCTGTGTGAATAGCACTGCACACACCTCCGCTCATTCCTCAGCAGGTTTGAGCGTGAACGCGCCTCAATGTCCAGTTTACGAGCCTTCTCCATAGACAGGATGAGAGCCGGTGTGAGATGCAGCGTGTGGAGGCCCCCTCGCAGCCTTTTCCGGTCCGGGCCCCTCTTGGGTTGCTTCACGGACAACGGCGGCGAGGGCTCTGACGTGGCTCGTCACCATGGCAACCACAGCAAATCCAGAGCATGTCGCGCGCTCTCAGAGTATTACTCAGAGTGGCGACGCGTGTGTTCGATGGACAGATGGATAATAATAAGCAGCAAGGCTCACCGGTTAAGCCGGCTGCCCCTAACCTGTCGGTTATAGGTAGCATGGCTCGCTGCATAAACCGGCTGTCTTTAAAACCTATTGGTTTTTAGGCAGCTCGGATTTTTTTCCTCTGTCCCAGACCTACCTCCTACACACGGTCGTAATGAACCCACGAGTGCCATTATTACAGTGTGGACAGCACTGCACACACCTCCGCTCATCCCTCAGGGGTGTTGAGCGTGAACGCACCTCAATGTCCGGTTTACGAGCCTTCTCCTAAACGCGACATAAGGCCTGTGTGAAATGCAACGTCTGGAGAGCTCTGGCGTGGCTCGTCACCATGACAACCACAGCACATCCAGAGCAGGTTCGCGCGCTGAGTGACGGCGCGTGTGTTAGATGGACAGATGAAAGATAATAAGCAGCAAGGCTCCCCGGTTAAGCCGGCTGCCAATAGCCTATTGGTTACTTGGCGGCATGGCTCGCTGCCTAAGCCGGCTGTTTTTTTTAAACTTATCGGTTAATAAACGGCAGGGCTTACTATTCAATCCGTCTACCTTAAACCTTTTTGGGGTTAGGCAGCATGGATTTTTCCTCTGTCTCAGACGTACCTCCTACCCACGGTCATAATAAGCCCACGGGAAGGGCCATTATTACGCCTTGTGTGGACAGCACTGCACACGCCTCGTGTGGACAGCACTGCACACACCTCCGCTCATCCCTTAGTGGTGTTGAGCGTGAACGCGAGGTTTACGAGTCTTCTCCTAAATGGCGACATAATGAGAGCCTGTGTGAAAGGCAGTGTGTGGAGGGCTCTGGCGTGGTTTGTCACCAACCACAGCACATCCAGAGAATGTACACCCGGCGCTATCAGAGTATTACTCAGGGTGGCGGCGCGTGTGTCTGATGGACAGATGGATGAGCAGGCGGATGGGCAGAGGGTAGTCTCTGCAGTTCGCCTCTCCCCCCCGCAGTTCTACGGGGTACAGGGAGTCCTGTCATCCCAGGAACAGTGTCTCGCGCTCCGTGCAGAGCGGCAGGAACTCTGGTTAAAGAAAGCCTTTTTCCAGGGTTCCTCAAGGGGAAGAAAATCAGGGGTTTTTACTCCTGCTATTTTCTGGTCCCGAAGGAGACGGGGCGGGGGGAATGAGACCCATCCTCCATTTGTCAGTGTCCAACAAGGGAATTGCCTTTTCCCATGCTGACGATCAAACAGGTGCTGGAGTGTGTTCACCAGGGAGACTGGTTCACATCCAGTCCTGAAGGATGCATACCTCCACGTAACCATCATCCCGAAACACAGCAAATTCCTGCGTTTCTCATTCCTGGCTCCACGCACTTTTTCAAAGTGGGTGGAGACGGTTGGACCAGCTACTCAGAATGGGGATGAGAGTGTTATTTTACCTGGACGACCGGCTGTGGCTGCCTCGCTCCAGGGAGGAAGCGGCTTTACACAGACGATACAGCGTGCATCTGTCAAGCCTGGGTTTCATTATCAACTGGAAGAAGAGCTGTCCTCTTCCCTCCCAGGTTATCATTTAACTGGGAGTGGAATTGAACTCAGCCCGCATGAGAGCGCGACTCTCACAGCAGAGAGTGGAGAAAGTGACAGCTCTCATCCGGTGCAGCTGTTAACCTGTCGGTTAGCAGGCGGCACGGTTTTTCCTCTGTCCCAGATGGGCCTACTACACACGGTCGTAATGAGCCCAGGGCTGTTATTACGCACTGTGTGAAGAGCACTGCACACACCTCTGCTCATTCCTCAGCAGGTTTGAGCGTGAACGCGCCTCAATGTCCAGTTTACGAGCCTTCTCCTAAACAGCGACAGGATGAGAGCCGGTGTGAGATGCAGCGTGTGGAGGCCCCCTCGCAGCCTTTTCGGTCCGGGCCCCTCTTGGGTTGCTTCACGGGCAACGGCGGCGAGGGCTCTGACGTGGCTCGTCACCATGACAACCACAGCACATCCAGAGCATATCGTGCGCTCTCAGAGTATTACTCAGAGTGGCGACGCGTGTGTTCGATGGACAGATGGATAATAATAAGCAGCAAGGCTCACCGGTTAAGCCGGCTGCCCCTAACCTGTCGGTTATAGGCAGCATGGCTCGCTGCATAAACCGGCTGTCTTTAAAAACCTATTGGTTTTTAGGCAACTCGGACAGCTCTCCTCCGGCGCGTCACACCCCGCGGGGCGGTGACAGCCCTCTCCGTGATGCAGCTGTTAGGCATGATGTCAGCTGGTCACGTGGTGATCCCCCTGGGTCTCCTTCACATGAGGAGACTCCAGAGGTGGTTTATTTGCCTGCGTATCGACCCTGTGCGTCAGAGGAGACGCATGGTGTACATTCCTCCTTCCGTGGGTTTGGATTTAACCTACTGGAAAAATCTCCACGTCCTGTCAGTGGGGGTGCCCCTGAGCAGAGTGACGTCACACACCGCAGTGTTGACAGACGCATCTCTCGCAGGCTGAAGAACGTGCATGTCACAGGCAGTGGGGGGACAGTGGCCGGCTCACATGTCTCTCCATACGTGCTGGAATTACTCTCCGTATGGAGTTGATTCGAACAGACAACAAAGCAGCGTCGGCCTACATAAATCGCCAGGGAGGTGTACGATCAGCGCTGCTGCTGAACACACCAGAGCATCCTAAACGTTCCGTTTGGTGTGTAGGGAAAAGCCTGGACCCCGTTACGGGCCCCCTGCCTCACGTGCTGTCGTTCCTCCAGCTGTTGCTGGACAGGAACTGGCCTATAGCACGGTCAAAACATATGCTGCTGCCATTTCCTCTTGCCACGTAGGTTTTGGGGTCAGCACGGTGTTTAGTCACCCTCTGACAAAACGTTTTCTACGGGGAGTACAGAGACTCATACCTGTGTCATGCGCTTTGGCGCCTCAATGGGATTTGGCTTTGGTGTTACGCGCACTGAGAAAAGCTCCATTTGAGCCTTTAGATCAGGTCCCCCTAAAGTTCTTGTCAGCCAAGGTAGCTCTGCTCTTGGCTCTGACATCAGCTAAAAGGGGTGAGTGATTTGTCTGCTCTCTCTGTGACTCCGTCATGTCTCCAGATCCAAGGAGATGGCAGCTCAGCTGTTTTGCGCCCTAGCCCGGCGTTTATGCCAAAAATGATCACAGGCTCTTTTTTAGATCGAGAGTGATAACTTTGGATGGCTTTTTTTCCTCCTCCTCACACATCAGAGGAAGAAGCCACATCTCATCTCCTCCGTCCCGTGCGTGCGCTGTCATGCTATACGGCACGCGCGGCTGCATTGCGCAGTTCCCAGCGTCTGTTTGTGCATTACAGAGAGCGCTCAATAGGGCAGCCTCTGTCTGCACAACGCCTGTCACACGGGCTGTGTGAGGCTGTGTCACAGGCGTAGGTCTCCTCTGGGGTGGATCCCCCGGAGAACATCAAGCGCACGGCAACAGAGGAATTTCAACCTCTACGGCGTTGCACGGAGGAATGACAGTGGAAGACACTTGCACTGCAGCATCTTGGTCTTCCCCCTGTTCGTTTATTCGTGGGGTTACGTACTGTAACCCAGCTTCTATGAGTATAGGCGCAGCCCTCTAAGGTTCGGGCCCCACTGGCTCCACGAATAGCTGAAGAAAAGCTGTTTGTGTGGGAGCAGATTGTAGAGCCTACTTCCTATTTATACGGAAGTGAGTCCGTAGGTGGGCGTGGATTAAGTCTGTCAGTGCTGCACACGTGCAGTGGGATTACCCAATAGCGATAGCCTTAGAGGGCTGCGCCTATACTCATAGAAGCTGGGTTACAGTACGTAACCCCAGTTCTCTCTCCTGGGAGTTTTTTTTAATCCACACCGAGTTATTTTATCTGCAGAGACTGAAGCCCTCTGCCTGCATTTCCTTTTTTCTTTCATTCTGCTTTGTTCGGGATTTGACCGAGCGCCAACCTCTATAAAAATGTAGCGCAGAGGTGCCAGATCGTAGCAAGAGAGAGTAAATCTGGTGTTGGTTTCACAGGCTGTGGAGCAGCGTAACCCCTGTTGAGCCGGGGCCAACGTTTTTGTTGACAGACCACACTCATCGCACCTCTAAGATGTAGACTTAAAGAAAAGCAAATATGTAAAACTTTACCTCCTCTTCCTCCTGACCTGGAGTCAGGAAGTAAGCCAGGCCGCTCAGGAGGCCCCACACGCCTCCGTAATGTTCCTCCTCGTTCAGCAGCTTGTCGAGTGGGCACAGGAACTGAAAAACTGGTTGAGTTTGGCTGATCAGATTAGCAGAAACTAACGCCTGGAAAATAAATGAAGAAAATGTTGAGTCATGATTATGATTGAAGTGTTTATCTGCCAGCACATCTAAGTTTAATGTTGTCTATACCTGCAGAAAGTGCTCCACTGATACTCTGGCTTCTTCTTTGACCTCAGCGTTGACCTCCCACTTCTGCAGCAGCAGGATCGTGGGCAGGCTGGTCGAGTCCTAAAAAAAAAGAAAGAGGAAAAATATCATTTTATGACAAGACAGCCTCAAGACTGAACAGTGTTTGGTCAACCCCGCTGTTTTTTATATCTGGCAAAAGAATAAAACTGTATTCCTCATGACAGCACGTTCAATAAGCTGACTTTCAGGGAAAAGTTGTGGTTTGTTTTCACAACAATGCTTCCCCCTCTGGCTCATGCTAGACAGTAAGTGGTCAAAACAACTCCTATCTGAAGTCAAAGGAAAAAAGTCCTGACAACCAGAAGTTCTTCTTTTATGAGTGGGGTCTAGGGGGGATTTATATACGGTGGGCGGGGGTTGAGAGTGCGGAGATGGAGTTGGGAGGAGGGTGAAGAGACAGAAAACCGTGAGTTAGGACGACCCAAGAGGGGCGTACTAAAAAAATGATTTGAAGAGATTTAAGTTATTATACATTCATGATTTAACTGTAAATCACTGTGGAAACTACAGAGAGCATCTGCATGGAGACGACAGGGCCTCACAGGAGGGCAAGCAAAAAGAATATACTGCAGTACATTTGGTATTTAGCAGCTCCTTACAATGTGTACATTTCACTGTCGATAGGCATAGTCTAGCAGTGTCTACAGCAACTTTAATATAGAAATGTAAAGCCAGAAAAATGTGAAAGTCTCCATGTTGTTTTTGGAAAGAAGAAGTGACAAAAGAGGATGGAGACGATTACAAAAAAAATGCTGAACAAGACGTTTCTAGGCAACAAAATGTAACTCATAACTATCATGTCGCCCTGCTAGCCATTAGAGAGAATACACTTGTTGCAAGTTTTAATGCACTTCTGCATTGGCTTCAGGTTCGGAGGATACCAATTTCAGGTGGTTATACAGAAACAAAAACAGAATTATGAAAATTATATTCAATTTCAGTCAGACAACTCACGTATTTCTTTAACATGTTTATTAGAAGCAGCATATAGTTGAGTTTGGCGACTAGGCTCGGGCATCATCACTCCATAGATATACATAGCACGATGAGTGATGATTAAATAACTAACCCCGAGCCTACAGGTGGATGCTGGGATGGAAGCTGGGGTGGTGGTGGGGCAGGCAAGCAGCAGCAGCATGAAACACAGCGGTAGCAATGTGAACGCAATAGCAGGGCACGAACGCAGCAGCAGCAGCAGCAAGCAATGCATGGAGAGATATCTGGCAAGTTAAATAGAGCGGCATATTAAGGAGACTCTGTTTGGTTGGTTGTAGAGTGGCAAGGGGCGTTATGTATGAATGCAGCATAAGTGCTCGAGTTGACTGCCTGAACTAGCTCGCAGGCTTCGCCCCATTTCTGCCAATAGATTCCCCTAAATCCTACACATTTGGACTTTTAAACTGATAATATATAGAAAAACAAATATACAAAAAAACGTTTTATCTGCCTTTTACCTGCCATCTGTTGCGGAAGTATATGACATCCATGTATGTCTTCTTGATGTCCCACTGCAGGTTCTCCGGGCTGCCCTTCTCCTCCAGGTGAAAGGTGAAGATTAGCTCCTCGCCATCCCACTCAGCCTATAACAAAGTCAACTGCTGCTCAAACATTAACATACCATCCAAGGACAACGTTTTAAAGAGCCTCAGCAGACAGATAACGAGCCTCCGGGACATTCCTTACTGTCACGGATATTTATAACTCACATGAGGGATGCTGACAGCCCAGCTGCCAGCGCGCCACATCTCATACAACAACCTGATCATCATGTCCTCTTGGACGCTCGTCTCCAGATCACTGTCCTCCTTATGGTGTTTACACACAACAAAAATTGAATAATACATTTAAAAAATCACAGTGAATCTGTCATGTTTCACAACTAATCCTCTTCAGTTTGAGGCGAGGTGCAGCAGCCTCACCCTGTCAGAGTCGTGCGGGCTGTGGAGCGAGCACTCTCTGCCGTCGACTTCGTCCTCGTTGGGCGCCAAGACCCTCCGCTCCATCTTCTTCTTTTTGGCCTTCTTAGATTTTACCTTGTCCACAAATTTAGACCATCCTTCTTTTAACTTGTTGGCTGAAAATGACAACAACCACATGTAAAAAGTCAGAGATAATTCTACAACTTGTTACTGCCTCGTAGCTCTTTTCTTTATTGTGTACATTACAGCACTGAAAAAACAGTGTCCCTTTCTGATGAACTGATTCATGTACATGGAGAGAATACAAATGCATTCTACCTCAACCTTGATCATCACAACAATCTGCATATTGTTTTTCTCTAGTGAGAAACTATTCACCATGATCATTAGGCATGCAAGCATGTAAGTATAATTAGTAATCAAAAGTGAATTCTTATTATCAATGTGATGGACTAATAATGAATAAATATCCCAGGATCGAGGTACGACTTACAGATTACTACAAATGATGATGTTTTTGATGCGATCACTATAGAAAATACATACGTTTGTCACATCACAGGGTTCATTATTGTCATGGCATAATCGCTTCGTATTAAGCCTTCATTACGGTTTGATTGTTTACAATACAAAGAAAGGAAGGGCACAAACATTATTTGGCATTCAGCCTGTCAGCTGTGTGTGTAATTAGCTGTCTGTACCAACAAACAGAACAAAGAAACAAGGGATTGATTAGACATGTAAAGAAAATTACACTGTCATGTAGTTGACAACACATTGCTGTACACAAAACGGTTTGTACAAAATGTTATGCAAGCACAGGCCACTCCTCAAAACAACCACAAACTACTCTACCTGCCTGCCTAATATGAATTGTCTTACACTCAAAGCTTAAAAAGGTTAGAATAACATCCTACAGTGTCAAAGAGCTTTGAATTAAACAGGCTTTTAAATAACAACCTTTGGGAGTCACACGGTCCAGCTGGTTCACCACCATCTGGTTCAGGTTGTCGGGGTCCGACAGCCATGTCACCAGCAGGCCCAGCCCTGAAGAGAACAGAAAATAATCCACCAAGCTCTGTTTGCCACATTAGCATAAACACACTAATATCATGAGGCACGATTTTCACTTTTCACAAAAGCAGTTTAGTGAAATGAGTCATGTTTATGGTTTTTCCTCTTCTTAACACAGCTGCAGTCAGTAATATAGCTAAAAGAGCTTCCTCAATGATTAGCTTTAAAATGATTTGACAAAATGTGCCTTCATGTTATGAGTTGGCAGCAGTCAGTTATTTTAGCATAAAATCTGACTGGAAACAACTAGCTTGTCTCTGCAATGGGAACAAAATCCACCTACCAGCTCATCTAAAGTGTACTAATGTACATGCAGTACTGTTGTTTGTTTATTCTGTATAAGAAAGCAAATATTTGTATTTACAGGAATGTCAAAATATGAATTTAAATTTGGCAAATGAGTTCCTTTGAATCGTTTTTTGTTGTACTTCTAATGTGTTGTGTAGTTAAGAATAAGTGGTACAATACATCTCAAAATACATGATTTTCATTTTGACTGTGAAATCAAAGCTCTGGATAATTTGCCAAATGTTCTGAATTAGTGTTAACAATCAAATATTGAGTTCATATCAAAACTATTTAGTTAGAAATAAGCTGTTTCCAGCTGCCAAGATATCCATTTCATATTTTAAATACAGCTGTCAAAATCACTCATTGTAACTGAGCTACACGCATAATGACAAAACCTACTGCACTGCAGATTTGCCACAAGATAAGACATTTGATCTATTCTAAAAAGGATTAGACAGAACCCTAAAGGAAATTGGCACATCACTGCGGAAGTGTGCCTTCCCTTTTCATGCTCTAAGGCTAAGCTGTACTATGCCACTGACAATAAGGGATTATACACAAATCACACTTGTAAAAGAAGCTCTGGTGGGCTTTGTCCTTATGTAAGAGTGTATTCCTGCAAAGAGATAGTTTGATGGTTCCTTACCCTTTAAGGCAACAATCTCATATAAGGCACAGCGGTTGACTTCATGGCCCCAGAGAGGTTTTGGGAAAAGGTTACGTACTAGAGCATCAGAAAACACCCGGAGGACTGCGATCTCCTCTGCTCTGGAGCTGAACAAGAGTTCCCTGAAACAGAGAGCAAGGGTGATTATTACAGGAAGTACTAGAAATGACTGTTGATGTTTAATCTTTCATTTCATTTCATTTTTATTTGTCCCGCTCATGGTACGCATAACCAAATCAAGGTTCAAGGTTCTTTATTAGTCATACAACCATAGCTACAGAGTAGGCTTCTCCAACAGTGCAACACAATATTACAGAAAAACAGAAAAATATAGTGCAAGTAAATATTAAAAGTAACTGCAAAAAGAAAGGAATAGTTTAAAAAAAAAGTGAAATAGTGAAATAAGAGTCTATATGCAAGCTATTTGAATGATATATTAGGTAAATAGATAAATGATTACTAAGTAGCAGAATGTTATGGATGTTGTTACAGCAGTTCAGGTGTTTAACAGTCTTATCGCCTGTGGGATGAAACTGTCTCTGAATCTGTTGGTTTTAGTCAGGATGCTGCGGTAACGCCACATGTACAATAATTGCCAACAAAACATGTCTCTACAAACACCATTGAGCGAAAAGGAGCAGGGAGAAGAATAAACTCTTATATGAATTGCCCCTTTCTAAAAAAAAAAAAAATGTTCACAGCCAAACATAACAGTACACCCTCATCTAAGTCCTACTGGAGAAGAAGGTGGAAAGCGGCGCATAATACTACTACTAATAATAATAATAATAATAATAATAATAATAATAATAATAATAATAATAATAATAATAATAATAATAATAATAATAATAATAACAATAATAATAACAATAATAACAACAATAACAACAATAACAATGGGACCTGCAAGACATCACATCAAAGACATCAAAAATTATTTAGCAATGCAGGACCAAAGTACATAGACTTATTCACATTCTGCTTCATATAGTCCCATCTTTCTTAATTTATACAATTTCTTTAACTGAAAAATACATATACTATTCTTTAGATCCTTTTGTTGAGAATTCCACAATTTTACACCAACCACCGAAATACACATTTGCTTAAGAGTAGTCCTTGCATAAGGATGCTTAAAGTTTAATTTCCTTCTGTGGTCTTCCTTGTCTGATCCAAAAACAAACAACTGTTGTAAATATACTGGTGACATTCTGCTTTTTGCCTTGTGCATTACTAATAATGTCTGCAGCTCAGCTATGTCTTTGAGTTTCAAGAGTCCTGACTTAAAAAACAGTCTGTTGGTGTGTTCTCTTGAATCAGCTTTATATATTATTCTTACTGCTCTTTTCTGTAATATTGACAATGGCTTTATGTTGCTCATATACGTGTTGCCCCACACTTCTATACAATAAATGAAAAATGGCAAAATGAGTGAACAGTACAACATCCTCAATGCCTTGTAATCTAGCAAATACTTTGACTTGTTTAGAACAGAAATATTCACACTTTCGTTTTAACATGTGCTATTTGTGATTTCCATGTCAGGTTATCATCCAGTGTCACACCTAAGAATCGAAATTCAGAAACCCTTTCAATAAAGACTCCATCAATGGACAGTGAAATGTTTTCATCTTTTTTTCTATTAGCAAAATAATTTTTCAATAAAATTATCACATTTTTGGACAAACAATTTCTCAAGGACCTTTGAAAATTGTGAAAGCAAGGACACTGGTCTGTAGTTAGTAAATTGGCTTTTATCCCCTGTTTTAAAAAGTGGAATAACTTTAGCTATTTTCATGCTAAGTGGAAATATACCTGTCTGAAATGAAAGATTAAAGATGTAGTTTAGCGGATTAATTATACAGTCAATAGTCGTTTCCACTATTGTCATGTCGATCCCATCACTATCAGTCGAAGTCTTATTTTTGCATTTGTCTACAATGGATCTAATTTCAATTTCGTTTATCTCTCCCAGAAACATTGACTGCAACACTTTACTTCCCCGAGTTCCGCCACCCTCTTTTTGCCCATCGTTTTGTTTTGGAATAGTCTTTGTAAGATTAGGTCCGACATTTACAAAAAAAGAGTTAAATTCATGTACCACTTCACTCATGTTTTTTACAACCTTATTTTTGTCAGTAATGAAGTGACTGGGCAGGCCAGTGGATACAGATTTATTTCCAATAACATTATTTAAGATTTTCCATGTGCCCTTGATATCATTTTTCTTTTCTTTTAACATATTATTATAATATTCTCTTTTTGCTTGTCTCATTATAGCTGTCAACTTATTTGTATATGCCTTGTATTGCTTTTCAACTGCCTTTGTCCTAAATGTATAAAGGTTGTTTTTCTTCTTGCAAGCATTTTGTAAGCCTTTTGTTATCCAAGGCTTTTGATAATAAGTACCTTTATATTTACAGAGTACAGTGGGACAATGTTTGTCCTACAGTGATATGTAGATTTTTAGGAAGGACTCATATGCAGCATTTACATCTTCTACATAAACCCCTCTCCACTCTTCCTTTAAGAGGTCACTCCTAAACTTGTCTTTTGCTTCAGCAGTCCTTACCCTGACATATCTACTGCGAGTCTCTTCCTTCTTTTTCTTTAATTGCCAATCATATGCTACAAATACAGGTAAATGATCGCTTATGTCATTTATTATTAGCCCACTCTTAGCACTGTTTTCCATGACATTTGTAAATATATTGTCGATCAATGTTGCACAAGTTGATGTTATTCTACTGAGCTTGGTGATTAGGGGATAAAGCCCCCTGCTGTACAATGCATCCAGGAAATCAGAAGTTGTTTTGTGTTTAGATACATTTAGAAGGTCGATGTTAAAATCCACACAAATAATAAATGTTTTATTTTCATTTAGGCCATCCATTAATACTCCTAAACTATCTTTAAAAATCTCTACATTTGATCCTGGTGCTCTATATGCACAAGTCACAACAACATTTCTCTTCCTTTCCATTTCAATTTCTATAGTTATGCTTTCCATTAAATCATCAGTCATAATTGTAATTTTTTCAACCAGTGTGCATTTTAGGACGCTGTCCACATAAAGAGCCACACCCCCTCCTCTCTTATTGGTTCTGTTGATATGGTGTAGCACGTAACCCTCAATTTAGAAATCAGTGACTTTGTCTTTATTTAACCAAGCCTCCGATATGGCAATTACTTTGAATTTACTTTTAAATGTATGTAGGTAGTCAGTGATCTTATTAAAGTTTGCATACAGAATCCTGCAGTTGAAATGTATTAAAGAAAATGTATTTTCAAGTCCAACATTGTCATTAAATTGATAATCGGTATAATATTTACACGAGTCACTTATATGATTAAACACATGATTCTCTGAATCGACATCAAATTCAAAATTGTACATATTATGCTCTGTGTTGTCAAATCTGGAAAAGATTCCGAGTGGCTCAGTCATTTATTTGTTGTTATTGTTTTCCAATCTTGATCTGATGCTTGATCCAACAATAAAAGGGGCCCTATAATGCTCATATGCAGGTTCATATTTGTATTTCATGTGTCCATGCTTTAATGTTCAAAAAGCTCTTTATTTTTCTCATACTGCCTGTGCTGCAGCATGTTTTTTCACCCTCTGTCTGAAACCAGAGCCCAGTCTGATCTGATTGGTTAGCTAGCCGGCTCTGTTGTGATTGGTCAATCGCTTAGAGATGTCCTGCCCCTTAGCCTATCATGTACAATGTGTTGAAGCGCTAGCCAATAGAACAAAAACTCCCTCTGGAGGGAACTTTGGGATTTTAGCCTTTGCAGACCATTTACATGCACAAACTAATAAAACTACAGGAAAGAGAAAACGCAAAAAGCCTAATAAGGCCTCTAAATCTGATGTACTGTTGAAAACACCATTCTGCATTTAAGGTCCCATCATATGCTTTTCTGGTTATTCCCCGTCCCCTTGTGTGTTATGTAGCTTTTTCTGCACGTAAACAGTCTGCAAAGTCACAAACCCTCAAAGTACACCCTGTAGCGAGTAAAACTCTAACACAGAAAAGACGTGTCTATGCCCCAGAACGCCTCGTTGGACATTTTTCTTTTTCCATTTTTTTCTTCCGGGAAAGGTTGACGTCACTCTAGACCAGGGGTTTTCAAAGTGTGGGAAGGTGAGCCTCCCCTCAGAGAACATAAGAACAGCCGCGCCCCCCCCCCCTCCCAATTATTATTGCTATTATTATTATTATTATTATTGTTGTTGTTGCTATAATGCAGGGGTATTCAATAGCATTTCAAAGAGGTCCAGTGAGAGAAAATGTCAGTAAATGCTCTGTTTTCGCTGTCTACCTTTCTCTTTTTCGAGCACGCCATTTGAAATGGCTGACTGTTTCTCTCTTCTTGTCTTGTCTCTGTGTGTTTGAATCTATCGTGCTCACTGACTGCACCGATTTGATTGGCTGAGTAGCGGCACCTCCTTAAAACCTTTTTATCTTTATGTTTTAAACATATGTTTTAAACATTTTTAACATTTGCAACATCGTGGCTAAATCCTTATATGCTCCCGGCAACACACTGAACGTCAACTTTGCCTCCTTATTACACTCACCCCTACTTTAGTGGGAACAATGAGTCTGCGTCTTTGATGCGCACAGGCGGATGATGCGGGGATGCAATGTAGACAGGAATAAACGCAGATCATCCTCTGGCTGCAGCCTTGACCGGTACTTGCTTTTGATCAAAGTACGTATTATTAAAATTAAAATAAAGGGCGGTGCCGGCCGTCAACGGCCCGCTGACGACCAGCTGTTCTGTGATTCTCCAGAACACACAGATGGCCAGTCGGCCCCTGCCAGGACCGGTCCATGAAAATCCTAGCTTCAAATAATCGAGGTCATACTTCCTCCGTTTTCTGCCAGACGCTGTCTCCTCTTTCACTTTAGGTAGGCTAACTTCACAAAAAATATACCGCTCCATGTTGCCGCTCGCATAAAGCTGGCTGAAGTTAACTAGCTAGATTTCACTGTTTCTCGTTATTTTTTTCTCACGCTGCGCCTCCCCTGAAGCTCTCTGGTGCCCCCCGCGGTGCTCCGCAAACACACGGAGCTCAGGCTGTGAGTGTGTGTGTGTGTGCTCAGGCTGAGCTCCGTGGTGTCTCGCTATCTCGCAGACCCCACGCAGCAACCAGGAAACGACACCAGTAATCCAGCTCACACTGTCCGCTCCTCGAGCCTCAAAGGGCGGAGCAGCGAGCCCCGTAACGTCCCGCCAACACGGCACCCAGACCCCACGCAGCATTCTCATCTGTTTGTCATTACTGGTGTCATTTTCTGGTTGCTAACAAACACCATTGTAACACATAATCACTGATGTTCCGCTGTAACGGTGGTGGACTAATCAGAACATAGTGGGCGAGCTGACCAATCAGAGCACAGTGGGCTCATAGGGAGGGGGGGGCAGGAGCTCCAACAAGCCGTTTAGGACAGAGAGTGAATACACATACTATACAGAGATGCTGTATGAGAAACCAATGTGATTTTGGAACATTGAACAATGTAAATATATTCTAGTAGACCTCAACAATGGAATTATGATCAGTAGAAATGGCCATGACATGGGACCTTTAAAGCAACTTTTAGGATGTCACTGCAGGTATGATCTTGTAAAAGTAAGGTAAATAATTCACAAGTGATAAAACTGTGGAGGTTTATAGAGTTAAGAAACATAATTGAGTAACAGAAGCAGCATGAATCAGAGAGAGAGTAGGCGTCACCTGTCAGCCTGCTTGGCATTATGTAAGTGCTGGGTCAGAATAGGAACAGAGGCCACGACCGCCTGGCAGACATCAAAGTCTTTGGCTCTGTCGATGATCCGGTCTATTACAAAGTTGAACTCTCCGCTGAGCACCTTGTGCAGAGGCTGCTGCTCGCGCTGCTCAGGAACGCCGTACCAAGGCAGGACCAGCTGGGCGTAGGCACATTCGAACACTGAGGACAGCAGTCACAAAGAGAAAATTCACTTTCACACAAAACTCCCACGCTCTTCTTCTGAACATCAAACTCGAGGACTGCAGCGAAATTCATTTCATTTTTTATTTGTTCCAATTATGGTAATACAAAGCTCCGGAAAAAATAAAAGAGAATTCACATTCAGAACACACATCAACCTGCCTAATATTATCTACATTAATAGTTAAGTCTATAAATTGTCATAAAATAGCAAAAAATGTCCATCCGGGTTTGTCAAATTCCAAAGAGGTGTCTTCAAATGTCATGTTTTGTCAGGCTATAAGCTAAAGATGTTCCGTTTAATATGATATATAACACAGAAAAGCTCAAATCTCCAAAAGTGAGAGGCTGAAATTGCATGAAGAATTACTCTCAGGATTATACGATTATCAAAATAACAAAGGGGAGCAGTGGGAAGAAAAATATTGCCTTCACTAACTCAAAGCATAAATAAACAACAGAATGAAATGGCATGTCAATGTTAACGTATTTAAAGTAGGGCTGTCAGTCGATTAAAATATTTAATCGCGATTAATCGCATGATTGTCCATAGTTAATCGCGATTAATCGCAAATTAATCGCACATTTTTTATCTGTTCTAAATGTACCTTAGAGGGATATCTTTCAAGTTTTTAATACTCTTATCAACATATGAGTGGACAAATATGCTTTATATGTTTGTTTATTATCATTTGAACAATGACAAATATTCTCATGAATATTAAACACAACAACCTCTGAACATTACAAATATTCGCCTCAATTCAACCTGGAACCTCTCTCATACAATAATACTGTGTGTGTGTGTGTGTGTGTGTGTGTGTGTGTGTGTGTGTGTGTGTGTGTGTGTGTGTGTGTGTGTGTGTGTGTGTGTGTGTGTGTGTGTGTGTGTGTGTGTGTGTGTGTGTGTGTGTGTGTGTGTGTGTGTGTGTGTGTGTGTGTGTGTGGAGACACTGTGATGAATCGTTGGAGCTATGTGCAGCTCAAGGCATATATGCTCGAATGGGAGCTGCCTGGACGCTGCAATCATGTTGCGCGTACGATCCGTGCTGAGTGTGCTGACTTTTCGTACAATGTCCCACTGTCTGGCTACCTGCATAAAGTCAAGTGCTCGGCGCAGTTGTCGGCGAAATGTCATTGAAACAGCTCCTTAAATCCGTTAGCGCAGCTAGCTAGCACCAGATGCTAACAACAACAACACGTAAGGTGTGCCTCGCTCGCGCGAGTCGCGCCACACATACACACTCCCTCCCGGTCCTCCCGATGGCCAGTCCGGGCCTGCCGGTGAGCGTGGAAGTGTGGTCTGCCACAAGCGGGCAGCAGGAGCGAGGCTGTCAGCATCAGCTTGTCGATGGTATTTTACACTCGATGCGCTCTGAAACTACGGCGGCCGAGGACAAAAAATACACATGCGTTAATCGCGTTAAAATAATTAGTGGCGTTAATTTTTTTTTGCGTTAACGCGTTATTAACGCGTTAACTTGACAGCCCTAATTTAAAGCTTTTATGGTGAAATTCAAGCTCTGTTTTTTTAACTTCACAAAACTCCTGTCCAAACTTTTCTAATTAAAAACTCATCACAGATATACGTGACAGTAAATCCCTCTGAACTTGATGAAGACGGGTCCGTCTGGAGAGCATTTTTTATTTATAGCAACATAGTTATTTATATAAAAGTCCTATAGAGAAAAAACAAGAACCAGCTGAAAGTGCTGATGTGGGGCTTTTACACAGCATCTCATTTATGTCGATAGGCCATAATATATATCTTAAACTATGAATTATTAATATTTTCAGCAATTTACAGGCATACAAAGACTTTCAATAAAAAAGGGCACGGAAACAGCTTGAAATAAAATCACTTTACATGTAAATAGACCCTATTGTAGTTTTATATCTCACATTTGTCAGCTGTGTTTTTGTTTATTAATAGTGGGACACAAACTATTTTAAAATACTTTGAGACGTTAGGAATATATGTACATTTCTAAAGGAGGCTGTGTATTTTTAAACATGAGTTGCTGACAGCTTTACTTTTTTAATTGTGTTAACATGAATAGCCACATTTGTGAAAATAAACAACAATTACCTTGGAACCCAGATTGAATATGACTGACATACAGTGTTTAGGACTGGAAAAGTGCTTTTAAGGCCAAATCATTGCAAAAAGCTTAATTTTACTTTCTAAATTCCATTGACTTTCAATGGCTTTTCAAACACTGGCTGTAGCCTTGAGAAATGTGACTGGAGAGGACATGAACTGTGTTTAAAGTCAATTATTACTCTCAAAGAATCTGAGCGCCAGCTATGCTATAAATCTTAAATTCTAACCATAACCAATTTAATAAACACTGCATAACAAGGAAAGCGGAAACTGCTGATAATGAAGAACCACAAATCGAATTTCCCGTTGAGCACATTAGTAGAGGAACAAACCCCCAAAAAAGGCTTTATTATCGAGATACCCCTACCCGAGGTAGAACAAAGCACAACCATGTTTTTTCATTACTGTAATATCTGTAATATATGAAACGGATTTTTGTATAAAAATATTTTACTGCAAAATATTTCTTTTTGGTTGATGACCTTCCCATAACCGAAAATAGGGCAAATGTAGGCTCCTCTGAAGGGGGCCATGTCAACCTTATCACGTGTATATCTGGAAATAAGGATCAGAATGTCACCAACTTTGGTTTATATGTTCAGGGTGAGGCAAAGCATACACTAAAGCACATTTTGTACCAATACCTTTGTCCATCTTTGTAAAATATACAATTAAACACTGATACAATTTAGGCGGAAATGAAATTTGAAAGGAAAAATCCAAAAGGTATGTTTATACTTTTCTGTCATTATTAAAGTTAGGAGACCAATCCCCAAAAAACCTTATTTATATGTACCAAAGAGTGTTATCTTATGATAAAAGTTGGTTATTTGACTATTAGGGGCTGGTAACCTCTTCTGTCACCAGCCCCTAACAGGTTGCTAGTGCAGCAAGGTCTTCAAACTGACAAATAGAATGGGCCCTATAGGTGTAAATCAGTGCTTCTCAAAGTGTGGTCCGCGGACCACTGGTGGTCCGTGAGCGCCCCCTAGTGGTCCGTGAGTATATTGGTAGAATTTCACATTTGAAATCAATTATTTTATTTAAATTTTCCGCACTCTCGCGGGGATATCTCCACAATGGAGTGAGCTTAAAGTGGACCTATCATGCTATATTTAAATGATATATTGTAGGGCCATACCTATATAAGGTATATTTATACGTTTCTGTTTTCAAAATACCAAACAGATCATGCATTTTAGCCATGCCTCATTTCGCTCTATGTGCTGTTTGCTGTCTACGGGTCTGATTCTGCTGACCACGCCCCCCTGCAGGAGAGGGGAGACGTGCTCTGATCAGCTGCTGGGCTGTCAGAAGAGGGGGAGAAAAAGAGATCTCCGTCCTCCGTGTTTTATTATATAGAGTCGTTATTCATTTGTTTTAAAGCTCAATAAATAACAAAGAAGACCTTTGACCGGCACTTTTCTAATTTTGTCTGGAAGATTTAAACTTTAACGGACATCTTGACTGGCGAAACAAACTGAAACTGAAACTCTGCCGCACGGTCCCCTCGTTCCTTGGAAGAGGCGGAGAGGTGGGTGTTTGTCATCTGCTGGTGGACTAACCGGAGAGAATTACAGTGCTTGCCTCGACGGGGAGGGATTGCATTGCAGCGGGAGCAAACGCTTGCCTCGGGGAGGGACAAAAAAAGCCACATCGGAGAATAAACAAAAGGGTAACCATGGTAACTATGGGCGGGAAGTCTTCTTCGCTGCTTTTGTGGCAGACTACAGCGCCACTTACAGGCCTGGCATATGTACTACAGCGTCTCCAGCGCGAGAAAGATTTATATGTTTATGTATATATTTAACATTAATGTATGTTAATGTTAAGGCACATTTTAGGAATGATAAAAAGTAGTCTAAATCCTATAGGCTAAATGTCGTCCCTGATATACCTGGTTTAAATGTAAGAACAATACTAGACTTTATTAAGCAAATTTGACTAAATGCTGTGTATGTATTTAGAATTTATGGTTTAATTTGAACTAATGCTTGATTTGTTCAGTCAAAAATGTTCATTTATGTCATATGAAAATGCTGTCATGCAAGCCTGTTGGCTCACAGTAGGCCTATCGCCATGTTAATTCAAAGATTAACTAAATATAAAGATAAATGCATTAAGAATGATAAAGATGGGTTTATTATTATATATATTATATAAAAATAATGATATTACATTTTTGCCTTAATCTATGGTCTGTGTCCTTTCGTTCATCCATGTACACCTATAGGGCCCATTCTATTTGTCAGTTTTAAGACCTTGCTGCACTAGCAACCTGTTAGGGGCTGGTGACAGAAGAGGTTACCAGCCCCTAATAGTCAAATAACCAACTTTTATCATAAGATAACACTCTTTGGTACATATAAATAAGGTTTTTGGGGAATTGGTCTCCTAACTTTAATAATGACAGAAAAGTATAAACATACCTTTTGGATTTTTCCTTTCAAATTTCATTTCCGCCTAAATTGTATCAGTGTTTAATTGTATATTTTACAAAGATGGACAAAGGTATTGGTAGAAAAGGTGCTTTAGTGTATGCTTTGCCTCACCCTGAACATATAAACCAAAGTTGGTGACATTCTGATCCTTATTTCCAGATATACACGTGATAAGGTTGACATGGCCCCCTTCAGAGGAGCCTACATTTACAAAAAAAAATATTTTGCAGTAAAATATTTGTATACAACAATCCGTTTCATATATTACAAATATTAAAGTAATGAAAAAACATGGTTGTGCTTTGTTCTACCCGAGTAGGGGTATCTCGATAACTAAAGCCTTTTTTGGGGGTTTGTTCCTCTACTTACTACATTGCAGCCTTATCCATACTGTACTGGGAGGGTGTGTTTTTCATCCTTCATTCTTTTCTTAAAACCCCTCCTCACTCCATGTAACATGAGCTCCAGCTGCAGCCGTGTCTATGCAAAACTGTCCTTTACAGAAGTGAAATGTGCTGACAAAACACCCTGGGGTCAAGAGCAGAACCTTGATTTACTTTTTCTTTCACATTTGTATAAAACGTTTACCAGAACTGTACAGTAAAATGTGTTAAACCCCCTAAAAAAACATTTTCCACGGTTAGACATGCCTCACCTTGCTGTAGAGACTTCTTCACATGTGGATACTGAGACTCCAGAGGTTCAGCATGCACGCTGCTTTTTGCAAAGTCACATAAATCACCAAACAACTGTCCCTCAGCAGCTTCCTTGAAATAAAACAAAACCACGACTCATAAACCACGATATGAAAAGATAAAGAGTAAAAACTGTAGCATCAGTATGTGCTGAACTCCATGTGACATGTGTGATGAGTGAAAACAAGTTCTCCAGGCCTCAGTAGGAAACATGCACGTCAGGCTATGATTGCAAATACTTCAACACATAGTTGATTTTACTGATATGACAAGTGTACATACAGTACTTGATTTTACTGATATGACAAGTGTACATACAGTACTTTACTTTATCTCTCTCTCTCTCTCTCTCTCTCTCTCTCTCTCTCTCTCTCTCTCTCTCTCTCTCTCTCTCTCTCTCTCTCCTCTCTCTCTCTCTCTCTCTCTCTCTCTCTCTCTCTCTCTCTCTCCTCTCTCTCTCTCTCTCTCTCTCTCTCTCTCTCTCTCTCAAAACAGTATCAGTGACTTATTTTATATTCATCACAGTGAATGCTGAACTTGATGGGCCCACCGGTGGGTCCGGACCATGACATGAAACACTGGCTTGCTTGTATCAAATCAATACATCATTGGAACGGGAAGAATCGCAGCTACAATACTAACTAAAGCATTTCCATCTCCAGTAAACACAGCCTACAGGGCAAGCATTTTTATAATATACAGTAATGTAAAATAAGCACTATCTTTGAACTTACTGCCAAAAATAATATGAAATTCACCCCTGGTGTCATTCTGTCTGTCATCCCTTGATTCTACTTGCTTTGACTGTTCAAATGAGATGTCAACCATCAAAATTGGATAAGGGGTTCCAGAGATATCACTGTGCAAAACACACCGGTCAATTTTGACCGAAAATAGCATGGGAAGGGGGGTATGACCTAACGCAAGAGAAGGGTTAATACTAATATTAACAGCCTTATTTAACTTATTACAGGATATACAACGGTTAAAAGTGCCATCATCATGTGATGTACTCTAATGCATCTCACGCTCACATATTTAATTTTTTTTTCGATCAGGCAACACTGCTCGTAAAAGCAACCATTTACTGCAATAAAAGTTGTTGCCAAAATAAAATTAATTTAATACCTGGAATGGATGTTCCACTGTCTCTTCATCAGTCTGAGTGCTGCTCTCTCTTCCACTGTTTTCGAATAAAAGTGAAGAAGAAAAACAAAAGAAGATACACAAAATGTACTGAGTCACCGAGCGACCGCATGAAAAATACCACACCAAGCCCAGGGTTATGGCGATGGAGAAGCGCCATAAATACATGTTCTTCTCCTACAAGAGGCTCTTTCTGCTGGTGTTGATTTTTGCTCGTTGTTCTCGCGTCCAGGAGGAAGTTAAAATAAGAGACAATCATAGGCGGCGCGTGAGGCTCAGGTTTGGGAAGGCTAAATAACTTTTTTTTACCTGATGCTGCCCGCTATAGATAAGAGATCAACTCAGTGAATGCACCGCCTGCTGGCCAATCAGAGCTCAGTGTGCGGAGTTTAAATCTATCAAGTCATATTAGGATAAAGGAAATACAGAACAACTGCCATCGGGGCGTGGCTGGTAGTCAGTGGGCACTAGTTTGCTGTGCAGTCCGCACACACAAGACCACAATTATGGCAGAAGCAAAAGAGCCCCAAATATATAATTTTCACTCCGAGTGGGAGGATGATTATTTTTGTATCTATTCCAATTCAAAGTCCATCTGTCTCTCATCTGCAATGCGAGCGTGGCTTTATCGAAGAAGGGTAATTTAGGAGCGGCATTTCAAAACAGTGCACAAACGCTACGAGACGGAATTCCCTCCTAATTCTGTCCTACGCTCCCAAAAGGTGAGGGACCTGAAAGGACAGCTAAATGCACAGCAGTCCATTTTCACCAGGCCCAACAACAAGAGCAAGGCTGCTACCATAGCATCGTGTCAGTCACGTTCTTGCGAAACACATGAAGTCTTTCAAAGACGGTGAAGTTGTGAAAGAAGCATTCCTGGAGGCTGCCGACGCGCTTTTTGGGGACAGTACAAATAACAGTAGCATTTCAACAGGTTTTTGATATAATAAAAACTCAAGTTAGATACCGTTATTAATCAGCTGTAAGTTTTAGTTTGTTTGAACTTATTCATTATAATTATTGTACAAAATGGTATAAGAATGCAAACTTTAAGATCTGTTCTGTTTAAATTGATTATAGTCTATTATCAATTCAGGTTAAGAAACTAGTGTTGCTTGCATCCTATTTTAAAGGCATTTCTTTTTATACTCTACTAAAATGCAACAAAAAAAGGGTTTGATTCTATTAATTTTGTCTTTTTTATTGCACTTTGGCAGCAGATTCCTGTGTAGCTTCAGATCTGAGTTGTCTTATTAGTAAAACTAATTTATACTTTTGTAGCAACACTATTTTTATATAATGGCAAAGAAAGGGTTCAGTCTTTTCTTTTTTTCCTGTGTCATATGTGGCAGCACTGTTCAATGTTTCTTGAAAACATGACCCACTGTAGTATGTGACGTGTGAATAAACTCCAACTCTGTATCAACAACACTGTTGTGTAACTTCAGTTAAATACTTGTATGTGTGTAGATTAGAAAGAGGTAAGATAAAGGATCTGCAGTATTTTATGAAGTATTAATTGTACAAAGGTCAGTTTTATATAAGTAGAAGTGTGTATTTACCTGGTAGTAGGCTGTCAGTAATGGCTACGCCTCTCTATTTGGACTGGTAGATCTCGGCAGACTGGCAACTTTAAAAGTAGCTCTCGGTTCAAAAAAGGTTGGGCACCCCTGATCTACACTGTCAAGGTTCAAGGTTCTTTATTGTCAAACTAACATAGCTACAGAGTAATTATGTTGTTGAAAATCTTATGTCACAGGCTTCTCCAACAATGCAACTGAAAGAGGACCAGAAACACATTAAAAATATAATAAAATAGGGAGACTTTGGGATATTTATCTCCCATTCTTTTACTTTTCGGGCATTTTACAGACCAAACATGTCGTTGATGTCACTGTTTACCAAACTACCACTTTTTCTGAAAAATGCATAAAATTATGCAATATATGTTAAATACATGGTTTATACATGTAATTACTGGGGTTCCATTTCTTCTGATTACCTAATTTGGGCGTGCACATTTGCCGCGCGCAAACCTACCTCTTTTGGATTTGGAAAGGTTGGCATGTATGTAAAGGTAGGGTAGGTAAGTTTGAGAAACCGGCTCGAGATCGCTAGAATTTGAAAATACACAACCGGAGAAAATCTGCCACTTGTAGTGCCGAGAGATAGGAGTCGGAGGCGGTGCATCGAAGGTGAAAAGTGGTGCTTTAATGAGCAGCAGAAAACCACATGTTGTCGGGTCGCAGCCCGGGAAGACAAGAAAGCAAGGGAGGGCACGCCATAAATACAGTCAACAACATATATGTCCGTGCGGAAACAATACCCCCAACCTGTAGTTCCATGCGTGAATTATGTAAATCAGTGATCACTACACACTTCCTTATAGAGCCCCTCCTCCAACACACACGAACGCGCACATGACCAATGAGGGCACGAGATAAGTTTGTGCACAGATGGAAGGCTGACAGGCAGGTAGGCCATCCAGTTATTTTAGCCGGCCGTCTAAAATGATTGGTCGTACTTTTTACAGTATAGAGTGGCGAAGTCCCTCCCCTTCCGGTGGACCTCCATGGGACCTTATTTCGGAAAAGTTATGCATTGAAGTCAATGGAGAGAGAAAGATTATCTTTCGATCCCGTTTGAATTGTGCCACGAATTACACATATGATGTTTGTCAATTTAAAAGATAATTTTGCAAGTCAAAAAAAATAAAATGTGTCGTAAAACTGTGAAGTAACACATTTGTTTGTGTGAACCGCTCAATGAACTACATCTCTGGTCTCACAGAACAACACACGTCACCAAGATGGCCGTCACTACTGTCAACAAACCGATTGGCTACCCTCACACTATCACCACAATGAAACACGTCCTGAAGAATGTCATGCAAAGCTGCCTGCCTGCCTTCCTTTGATTCTCTCTGAACTGCCCGGTCGTTTTAATGTTTAATGTCAACCATTTGTGCAGATAGCATGAAGTAGAGAAGATCGCTAGCGTTAGCGTTAGCATTTCTCCCCCGGGCTTAAATTGTGTATTATAGAATGATCACACCGGTGACAGTACTATTCAAAGGGTTCACGAAATATGACTACTACTCTTACTGTTTAACATTTTGGGTTACTTAATGTTACTTCATGTTAAGGCTAATAAAAATGACAAGGCTGTAATGCTAACTAACGTGCTAGCTACTAGCTAGGTAGCTAACTTGATCTACACACTCCTTTTTCATCAGACGGGAAGCGAAAGAACAAGCAAGACCCATTGCTGGTATAATAACAACCTGGTACTAAGCACACAGGCATCTTGTTAAAGTTATCTTATCTTAGCCAGCGCCATATAGATAGATTCTATCTATATGGCGCTGATCGTATATATACGGTATTATACGTGTATCGTAGTGTCTCAATTGTGACATCACTTACGCGACTCTGGGATTTGTAGTCTTTCTAGTTTCGTATTTTTCAAAGTCTTATATTTCAACAGTTTTAAGACAAACTGTGACTTTTTTGACATGGAAATGATTTTTTAAGATTGACAAACATCATATGTGTAATTCATGGCACAATTCAAACGGGATCGAAAGATAAGTTTTCTCTCCCCATTGACTTCAATGCATAATTTTTCCGAAATAAGGTCCCATATCCCGGAAGTAAGTGGGAGGGACTTCGCCACTCTATTACGGCTTCCACAGATGACATTTTTTTATGGATTTTTTGTCAAAGCACTTAAGATATTCATTGCTATAGGGATGTTAAGAGCATTCCATCGAATATAACAAAAAGTGTATCTCGAGCCGGTTTCTCAAACTTACCTACCCTACCTTTAAAACGAATTACACATATGATGTTTGTCAATTTAAAAGATAATTTTGCAAGTCAAAAAAATAAAAATGTGTCGTAAAACTGTGAAGTAACACTTTTTTTGTGTGAAACCGCTCAATGAACTACATCTCCCGTCAGTCTCAAAGTCAATTTGGTGTGTCCCGAACCCTCGGCCGTGACACGCCTTATTTGGCCTTTCACGGTCGGCCGGGTGTCGGACACAAGCTATCGGGCCAAGAAACCACTCTGATCAGCTGTTCAGCTAGCAAATGAGAAGCGAAACGGAAGTGAGGGACGTAAACAAACGATTTAAGGCACAGGACAGCAGCTAAACACCAGCAGGTGATACTTAAAGACATCAAACATAGCCCTTAAATGTCCTCTCTTACCTCCCACACATAGCAGGGACATCTCTGATATCGGCGGGAGCGTCCCCGGCTGTCCTCTGCTGAGAGCTCCGTGATTTTTTTGGTCAAGTCCGGTTTATTTGTCAGTATAAAGTTGCAGGATTAGTCTCAAGTACCTCAACATTGTCCTTAAGTACAGTGTCTAAGTAAATGAGATAGTGTCTACTGCTGTTCATTTACCTATTGTGAGTCGCCTCGGATAAAAGCATCACATGGAAATGTAAATTTAGCAAGAAGTGGCCATAATTACATTACATACATTACTACATTGCTGACTCAATAAACTACACACCCGCCAGAACACTGCGATCATCAGATGCAGGTCTATTAACTGTGATTTTATAGTATGTCTGCACTTTATGTGCTCATTTCATCATTCATGTATTTTTATATTCTAAAACATGTTTTCGATGGACGAGAGTGAAAATGGAACGCACACGCTATTTGCTGTTTGTTTATATCACAGTCTGTTCTTCTTCTCTTTCTTCCGGTTGTTGCCTATTTTGAATGACGAATACACACTACCACCGCCTGCTGGTAAGGACAGTTATTGCCACTCACGCATGCGCAGTTCGTACGTGCTCGGCTGAAGTCTTTGCGGTGTGTTCCAGTGCGACACATGGCCAAGACGCAGGAGAACTCGTCGATGGAACTGTCGGTGTCGGTGTCGGCGAGTTCTCTGGTGACTGCCTGGTGTGTCAGGGCCTTAAGAGCCAGCATGCGGGACCGGGATTCTGGGATTTGTAGTCTTTCTAGTTGCGTATTATTCATAGTCTTATATTTCAACAATTTTACGACAAACTGTGACTTTTTTGACATGAAAATTATTATTTAAGATTGACAAACATCATATGTGTAATTCGTGGCACAATTCAAACGGGATCGAAAGATAATCTTTCTCTCTCCATTGACTTCAATACAAACCTTTTCCGAAATAAGGTCCCATGAGTCCCACCGGAAGGGGAGGGACTTCGCCACTCTATATTCCGCCGTGGTTGTGCTCAAACCGGCTCAAACACAGGGTGTTTCTCAATCGCGAGTACGCTTGCTTGGTAGCACATGTCTGCCGAGCATCTTGCTTCAGAAGCGAGTCAAGAATACTTCCTGGCATTCGGAAAAC